CGTACCGCCGCCTTGGAGAAACTGTCGCCAACTTCTTCTACAAGAACGTCGTGTGGGTTTTGGGTATCTTCTGGTACCAGATCTACTGCGACTTCGATGTTACGTACATCTACGAGTACACTTACATCCTCACCTTTAACCTTCTCTTCACCTCAGTTCCGGTCGTCATTATGGGTGTGTTGGATCAGGACGTTTCAGACAAGGTCTCTCTGGCAGTGCCTCAGCTCTACCGCCGAGGCATTGAGCGTTTGGAATGGACGCAGACCAAATTCTGGTAAGTCAAACCATGAGCGAGATAATTAATATGGTGCTAATAGGTTTGCAGGATGTACATGCTTGACGGCGTTTACCAATCTGTCATGGTTTTCTACATTCCGTACCTCACGGTGGTAGGCACCAGCTTTGTCACCAAGAACGGCTTGAACATCGAGGACCGGACAAGACTCGGCGCATATATCGCACACCCTGCCGTCGTCACAATCAACGCATACACCATCATGAATACTTACCGTTGGGATTGGGTTATGATCCTTATCGTCGTCCTCAGTGACTTGATGATCTTCATCGTCACTGGTATCTACACCGCGACGGAGTCATCAATGTTCTTCTACCAGGCTGCCCCCCAGATCTATGCTCAGGCGTCCTTCTGGGCAGTCTTCTTCATCGTTCCCGTCATCTGCCTATTCCCCCGATTCGCGATCAAGGCGATTCAGAAGGTCTACTTCCCTTACGACGTCGACATCATCCGTGAGCAAGAGCGGCAAGGCAAGTTCTCCCGTCTCACACAGGGAGACGAGGCAACGGTTGTTGGAGAAGAAGCGGCGAGCAAGACGCCGTCAAACTCGTCAGTTAGCTCGCGTAAGGGTAAGCACATACACTACGCCAGTGTGGATGAAGACAGAAGGCCAATCTATCCACCTTCAGTTGCGACACACACGACGCACAACCCACGGAGTCAAAACGGAAGCGACGGGACCAACTACACGGGTCATCGGCAGTCCATGGACATGGTGCAAACGCAATCGCTCGATATGACACCACCGATGCGGCCCTCATTCGATCGAGTACGCCCCTCCTACGATCGAGCCCGACCGTCCTACGACCGAATGCGATCTTCGATGGATCGCACCCGGGCGAGCTTCGAGGCGAGCAGCGACTTCACCTCGGCGGCTCGTCTCTCACGAATAGAGTCTAGCCAATCATACAGCGACCGATTCCATCCGAGACGGCTCAGAGGTCTGTCGTTGACCAAGAGCAACAACATATAGACACCTCGACTTGACAACCACCGACCGAAGTTACTCCTTGTATTATAACATCCACCATGCCCTTCCGAATAGGGCCTTGTTTCTTTGCTGTTTTGTTGATATCCCCCGATGCATCACGATCTGCATGAGCGATCTACGACGTTCCCACCGTCGCGTACCAGCGACACCCGATGCTTTCACCCCCACCCCAGCCTCTGCTCTTTCATTGGTTTCGCGGAATTCGTTTTCGGCTTTCTTTTTCTCATTCTATAGGGTTTTCCTATGGCGACGGCGTTCAAAGGAGGGCAAAGGAAAGGAAGACTCGGATGGCATTGTTTTGTACGAGTTTGGTGGGCATCCTAGATTTGAGAGGGGGCGCCAGGAACCAGTCCGTTTGAAGGTGCTGGGATCTCTCCTTAGGCCGGCCCCATGGCGTTTTGTCTGGGCGGGCCAAAGAAAGTGATGGCGCGCAGCTCCAGCTGCTGACGCCTTTTGTACATACGCACGCAAACTGGAGGAGGAGGAGGAGGAGGAGGAGGAAAAAGAAGCGAAAAACACATAATATTTCAGGGGTAGCTTGGAGATGAGCAGCGGACAGAAGCCAGCCATTATTTGAATCGTTAAAACAGGATATTTCCAAAGATGCCTATTCCCATGTGACGACCTCAAACACAGCCGCTTTGACTTGGTCTCGGCCTCGAATAAGGGTATAAAATCATTTTCGGGCCAATTTCGGAAGCAGCCATAACATCAATACAACACCCATTACAGATCGTAATCAAATGCAGCCTTGTTGTAGGTGGCGATATTTGTTTTCTCTGCCTCCTGCAGGCCTTATCTTCCCCGTAGTTATCTCCGCCCTGCCTGCTTCGGTGCGCGAAGAGCATTTACACTTCAGGGCTCTCCAGCAACTTGGAAAAACGCTCCCTCCCTATTATCTATCCAGTCTCGTGTTTCTTCTTTCCTACTCGTGGTGTTACAAACCGCCAGTAAACGTGGTTCCCCCGCACACCGCACGCAGGTACGATGCTGAGATGCGGTACCCCTGCACCGAACGCCATGCCCCTGCCAAATCATATCCACATCAGCGGGGGCCCTGGACCGGGGCAAGCTCCCCCGAGCTCTGCTGATTTTTGGCCGAGGACATCCGATGCGGCGGCGTTCATTCAGGGTCCGCTAGTACCACCAATATTTTGGCTGTCTGCTACGGAGTAGCTACCTGAGCCAACCGCGACTTCAACACCGCGCAGGCTACTTTCACAAGCATCGTCGACAAGAGTCCAATTGGTGACCATTGGCACAGTTCAACGCCAATATGGACCCGGAGGTTTGGGACGAGGTCGCTGAGAAGCTCAACTCTTTCGTCGAAGCTATCCCGTACGCTACCGCCCGCCAAATGGCGCCACTTTCTGCTCAAAGCACCCGCTGACTTGAACATTTGTTTGCAGACCCGGCGCGCCTCAATATGCCTTCGCGGCACTCGCAATTGCCTTGAGCATTTGGCTCCTACAGCTGGCTAAGTCCTGGAACGAGGACGAGGCAATCGTCTACAGTGTCGATCCACCCAAGCTTCCCGAGAAGCATACAATCGTCGAGGAGACGAACATCAAGGTACGCGGGTACTCCACGCTTTGAGCGCGCCTGAACGTGGCTGATATGGATTTTTACAGGTCTCCGGAACCACTGCAATTCAATGTTACGCCCCGGCCACTGGCCAGTTCCTCGGCTTCGTCAACCCCTCGACACCTGCTGCGATAGACCGCGCCGTCGATGCCGCCCATACGGCCCAGGCCAAATGGAAGCACACCTCCTTCCGCGAGCGCCGCCGCGTTCTGCGTTCCATGCTCCGGCACGTCCTCGATAACCAGGAGGCCATTTGCCGCGCCGCCTGCCTTGATTCTGGCAAGACCATGGTTGACGCCCAGTTGGGCGAGATTCTGGTCACTGTCGAGAAGCTTACATGGACGCTGAACCACGGTGAGAAGGCGCTCACCCCTGAGCGGAGGCCTACAAACCTCTTGATGGCGTACAAGCGCAACGAGGTGCGGTATGAGCCTCTCGGTGTTGTCGGTGCGCTTGTGAGCTGGAACTACCCTTTTCATAACCTCATCGGACCCATCATCTCTAGCATATTTGCAGGCAACGGCGTTTTGGTCAAAGTCTCTGAGCAGACGGCATGGAGCTCGCAGTACTTCACCAGCATTGCCAGAGGTGCCCTCGTTGCCCATGGACATGATCCTGCCCTGATTCAGACCGTGGCGTGCTGGCCCAACAACGCGGATCACATTACATCCCACCCCAAGATCTCGCACATCACCTTCATCGGCTCTCGTCCCGTGTGCCTCAAGGTTGCCGCCTCTGCCGCCAAGTCTCTCACACCGGTCATCGCAGAGCTGGGTGGCAAAGATCCGTCGATCGTTCTCGACTCCGCTGCAAAGGACTTGAAGCGTATTGTTGAGATTCTTATGCGCGGCACCTTCCAGGCCTCTGGGCAGAACTGCATTGGCATCGAACGTATCATTGCTACACCTAAACTCTATGAACAACTCGTCGCTACTCTCGCCCCCAAAGTCCAAGCCCTCCGCCTCGGCCCCACAGCGGATGTCGGCGCCATGATCTCGGATGCTTCCTTCACCCGGCTAGAGTCCCTGGTCGACAACGCCGTTAAGCAAGGCGCTCGTCTCCTCGCCGGCGGCAAACGACACGTCCATCCCGAACACCCCAAGGGCCATTACTTCACCCCTACTCTCCTCGTCGACGTCACTCCCGACATGGAAATTGCCAACGAGGAGTGCTTCGGTCCCGTCATGACAATTATGCGCACGCCTGGTCCTGACGCGGAGTCCATTCTCTCGGTTGCCAATGCTCCCGACTTCGGCCTTGGTGCCTCGATCTTTGGCGGTGACAACGACCCCGTCCTCCGCACCGTTGTCGACGGCCTGAAGACGGGCATGGTGGCTATCAACGACTTTGGCGCGACCTATGCCGTCCAGCTTCCTTTTGGTGGCGTCGGCGGTTCCGGTTACGGACGTTTCGCCGGTGAAGAGGGCCTGCGGGGTCTCTGCAACGTCAAGAGTATCTGCGCAGACCGCTTCGGCTGGATGGGTGTCCGCACCGCCATCCCGCCCCCCGTCAAGTATCCAGTGCCGGACCAGGAGCGGAGCTGGAGGTTCACGAGGGGCGTCGTCGGCGTGGGATACGCTATCGGTCTTGTTGGCAAGATCAAGGGTCTGTTGGACATTATGAAGAATGCTTGATTTACAGCACAGGAGTGGAGACGTATGATTCACGATTCTTAGAGCATCCTAGACAGACGGTAGATGGACACATATTAATATGGCGAGAGGCGGCGAAAAGCATATTCTACTACCTGGTAATTAAAAGCTGTTTGGTCTGTATTCGAATCCTCGCTCTGTCTCATCTTGCGTGACTGTGCCTTTCCAGGTGGTGTCCTCACAAATTCCTGTCGTGGATCTAGGTATACGGTCGCATCACAGGTGTGGCGTAGACGTCAGTTCAATAGGATCTAGGAGCCGTAGCTGTTCTCAAGCTTGGACAACTTGTAACAGGACCATCATTGCAGACATATCACCAAAGCCAACAGTCAAAACATGCGCGAGAGAATTATGATTAGTTGCCTCCAGACCCTATTCCTTTTGGCCGTCTAAAAATCCACCAAAGCATTCCGAATAGTCTGTGGGCAAGCTACCTTCAAATCCTCTAAACTTCCGAACCGAAATGTCCAAACACCAATCACCAGCCATCGCCACCGGCACCGGCAGACGCACCCCAGGCGGGAGCCTCGGTTGTCTGGTTACCGCCAGCATCATCGCCAGCATCACCACCCCAGTCACCGCCAGCGTCACCACCAGCGTCGTCACCACCCCAGTCACCGCCACCGAGGTGAGCAATGCCAGCCTCCTCAGGGTCAAAGTCCGACTCGGTCTCGAACTTCAGGTTCTCAAGACCCTTGCCAGTGGGCTTGAAAGGCTCCAGGAACTCGGGAATATCCTGCTTGGTCTCCATGAGGGTACGGACCAGAACGCTGGCAATGGGCTCATCACGCTCAGTGTAGAAGGATGTAGCAATGCCACGCTGACCCATGCGACCAGTGCGACCTGGATGTTTTGTCAGTATGCAAAAGGTCATACTAGTCAGGGTGCGTCTTACCGATGCGGTGGGTATACTCCTCGATACCACCATGGTCCATGCTAGGCAGGTCGTAGTTGATGACATGCTTGACATTCTTCACGTCGATTCCACGAGCGCTGATGCCAGTGGCGATGAGAATGGGAGCCTTTCCCGCGCGGAAAGCACGCATGGAAGCCTCACGCTCCAGCTGGGTACGGTCGCTGTGCATGGAGGTGCACGGAAAGCCCATGTTGAAGAGGTAGTCGTCAAGCTCGTCAGCGGTACGCTTGCTGTTCACGAAGATGATGGTGCGGCAGGCAGCGAGAGACTCAATCTGCTCCTTCAACTTCGATTTTTTGTCGAAAGGAGCGACCTCGATCACGCGCTGAAGAATGTTGGTGTGAGTGCTGCCGATACGACCAACGCTGATGCGGACACTGGAGGAGGTGCTGAGATGCTCCTTCGCAAGGTCACGAAGAGCCTTGGGGAAGGTGGCGGAGAACAGCATGTACTTGATGTTCCCCTCCTGCTGCTCTGTGGAAGGGGTCAAACTTTGGTCCGTAGAATAAGATCAGGGCGAGACTTACCACCACCGGTCATGATGACGTCGAACTCCTCACGCCAGTCATCTTGAAGCATCTCATCAGCCTCGTCGAACACCATGTAGCGCAGGCGGCGCAGAGACAGGACGTCCGGACGCTGGATGAAGTCGCAAAGGCGACCAGGAGACGCGATGAGGACGTCGCAGCCCTTTCCAAGCTGCTGAATCTGGTCACGAATGGGGCCACCACCGTAAGCGACGCAAGGACGAAGCATGGTGCGGTAGCACAGCTTGCGCGCCTCGTTGAAGATCTGAATGGCAAGCTCACGAGTAGGGCAGACCACGACAACCAAGGGCTCGGCGCGAACGGAAGCCTCGCCCAGCTGAATCGAGGCAGGGTTGGGGCGCGGAGCGGCCAACTTCTTCGCCTTGCCCATGAGCTTGTTGAGGATAGGGACCAGGTAGGCGGCGGTCTTGCCAGAGCCTGAGTAGGGAGTCAGTGTGTGGAAGACACCATCATTAGGATAGAAGACTGACCAGTCTGCGCGACGGCAACGACATCGAGGCCCTTGTGGATGGCCGGGATCGTGTACTTCTGAATTGGAGTGGGGGCGTCGTAGCCACACAGGTTAATGTTCTCGAGCATGACCGGGTGAAGACCGCCATTCTTGTAAGAATCGATGGGGTTGACGCGAATTTCGCCCTCCTGGTGAACCTCAACTTCGGAGATGCTAGGAATGTCAGCTTCAATCTATGACTTTTTGGAAGAATATTTACGCTGTGAAGTCAAGACCGGAGTGGTCACGGCGAGTGGCCGGGTCACCAAAGAGCATGAGCTCAAGCTCGGGGTGCTGAGGACCGACCTCACCGTACTCCTCGTCCCACTCGTAGATGGCAGCATTGCCCTCCCAGTTGCCGTTCTCGATCGGGCCTGACTGGGCCGTCTCCTCGTAGTTGTACTTCTCGGGCTTAGACCACTCCTTACCCTCGGCGTCAAGGGCGACAGGCTTCTCAGAGGCGGCAGGCAGCGCCGCCTCCATCTCACCGACGGAGAACGACATGGCGATGGAGTTGCTGGAAAGAAGTAGAATTTAGCAGTGGGAAGCAAAGCAAAAGTGTCTGGGTTTTGAACCTACCAAGGTTGAGTGATGGTCAAGAACGCGGTGAAGGGCGACTGATCTGATGACCGCAGGCAAGACTGGACGAGATCCTTCCGGCTGACTTTTTTTAGCCGAGGAAGGATAGAACGCGCACAGAACACGTTGAGGATGGAATTGTTGAGGAGAAAACCGAAAAGGCTGGATGAGAAAGGGAAAAAGGATTGAAGCAGCTTCGGCGGGCAAGTAAGCGGGAAGGAAAGGGGCAGTGCAGAGAGCTGTCGGATGGAAGCGAGACGAAAATTTCCAGGACCCAACTCGAGACTGTATTTTTGGAGGAAAGACTGCAACGCCCTAATGAAGCGCAAGGAAAGTGAGGTGTGCTTGGGTCTGGGAAGGAGGGATGCGGGGGTTTGAGGGAAGCCAGGAAAGGTCTGCAGGAGGAAAGAGGCATGGCCTGCGAAACGAGAAGCACCCAAGCCAAGGATCACGAAGTGGCGCTTTTGATCTGATGAAGACAAGATGGACGAAGACGTGATGATGGCGATGGTGATGGTGATCTGAAGAAATGGGGGTAACCTACCTCTCGTGATGCTTGACGATGTTGTTGAAGACAGGCAAATCTCCTGATGTGAACCTCCCGTCTCGAAAGGCTGTGTTGTGTGGAGAGAAGAAAAGAGAAAGAAGTCTGAATCTTGGAGGAGGGAAGAAATTAAATATCGGAGGGAGGAAGGGCGCGCGGCAAGGCGGGTGGCCCGAGGGTCGTCGCGTCGAGACAGGCAGGCAGGTAGACAGGCAGGCGGCAATCAACAGGGCAAGAGTGAAAGAGGGCAGAAGGGCAGTCGTCATGGGCGTCATGTGGAAGGAAGGGGGACCCAGGGCATAGGCACGACGTGGTCCTGCCTGAGGTAGGTGGTCTTGGTCGAGACCTGGCGTGAGAACTCGAGATCCAATGTCATCGGCTAGTTAGCCTCCTGAATCTGTACCACTGGATACGATCAGTCTACAAGCCAATCTCACATCTCTTGATAGCCTACGTCTTGGTCCACAACTACTGGGCTTGACGAGATCTTCTCGAACTCCTGAGGCTTGGAACTTTTCTAGAAGAGGGCTCAGATCAAACCGAACTGCAAGATGCATCTTGCCGTACCCAGCATGCAGCCTGCATGCCACCACAGCAGAAAGAGACGAGAGGCTCTGTTTGACGACCAAAAAGAAAGACATTTAGTAGGGGTGGGCTGCTTCACTTTCAACAAAGCCCAGGGCAGACACATAGAAACATAGAAACGGAATTCTCACCGAGGTGAGCGGGTATCATTGATGTATCCATCCACATCTATCAAACGCTGTCTGTTCATAGGCGTATCTATGGGGTATCTTGTGGAAGCTTAGGTTAAGTCTCCAGCCTTCATCTTGGACCGCATGTGCGATAACACAGACTCCAACGTATGCGTATATACCTGCTTCGGACCACACGCTGCTTGACACCTGGGGCCAAAGTGTCGCTCTAAGGAGTTGCTGAATGGCTGGTGGTATTCCGCAATGACGACGGAATCTCTTCTGTTTGTGATCCTGACTTTAGGGAAGCCTTTCATCGGTCGAATGCTCCTATGCCCCTTGCCATAAATCCAACAAATCCTGAGGGTCAACGGCGGAAGTAGGCTCATATCCCTCCATATCCTCCTTCAATGATTTCTCTAAAGTGATGGCAGATCGACCACTCGCACCGCCCTCCTTCTTTGCCTGCTCAATACCGCGGCTGAAGGATTCCGAGAACCTCTTATGAAAAACACGCTGTCGAGACTCGCGATCGTTGTACATCTCCGCCTCTTCGTCTCTACGAGTCCCGAATAGGTTGAGATACGCAAATGGATTTGGTGCCCGTGGGATGCGGTACATGTTGTCGTAGAGGGCGTTCGGGTTACTCGGCGCCGCAACCTCTGGCTTGAGCCCTGCCTTGAGAAACCTCGCTAGCACTCCAACCTGCCTTGCGTGCGATTGCGAGTCTTTAGATCTCAGGCCGGTCTTTGGTGCACTCGTCCACCCCGTACTCGACTTTACGGACCATCCCATCAGCGCGCAGAAGCTGTTGAGCGTCTTGACCCAGCCGCCGGGACAGCTGACGGTCTCGTCCTCCGCAACATCAAGAAGCCACTCCAATACTGACAGGGAATCGTTACTGATGTCGGCAGAAAGATGCGTCATGCCGGCGCGAATGTACATGATGCACTTTTCGGCGTGATGTCTGACTTCGGTTTCTGGGAGTTCACGGAAGAGCTTGAGTAGTTGACTGCGGACGGGACCTGAGGCGTCAGAGATGAGGGGCAGGAGTTTGCCGAGGATGGTGGCGGTGCCGACGGGGTTGTTGCCAAAGCCCACCTGGCTCGTGAGATGTGCCAGCGCTTCTTTTCGCACCTTGTCTGATCTTGAGGTAGATGCGAGGGAGAGGTGGTGTTTGAATTGTGTTCCGACATCAGGGGCTTCTTCTGCGAGGGACTGCTGGCCCATCACAATGGACTTGGCCTTGAAGCTGGTGTCTGTGAAGTTGGCCGGCTTGGCCTTGGTCTTGCCAACCTTGAACTTTGGTTTCTATACCATGCTGTCAGTAACGCTTCAGAGCCATGATGGGGTTGAAGGTGGTCCATCCACGCCTCATTGGATTCTCATACCGCAAAGTCCTTGGCCTTTTGGTTCTTTTTCCTCGTGCTGGAACCCATGGTGGCTGTGTATGTAAGTAATTAAAGACTATTGAAATATTTCGGTGATGATGTCGCCTTCGGTCAAGCGCAAGAACTCCCAACACGGTGTCTGATATCTTTTCACTGAGATTTTCACATGAGAGCAGCATGTCACAGCAATCAGACCCCTGCCAGAACGGGTGCCAGAAAATTTCAGCGGTCAGAAACGGCAGAATCTGAGCGGCGCTCGGCCCCACCAAGGCGTTGGTACGCTGTTACCCAGTGAATCCTAGCAGCAGAAGGTACAACAGCACCGACCGAGCTTAAGCTGATCCAGCCTTACGGACCAAACACCCGAGCTCTACGGAACCGGCCGTCCACGATAGAACGAGTCACACACTCACTTTGAACCTCTCTTCCTCAAGTACGGCGGGCTGACGAGCACCACCACCTTGGCCACCTACCCCGCCTCCGTCGCAGCACACACATAATGGCCGAATCAGTACCCGTGAGCGACCTCGAGACCCCTCTGCCAATGTCGTCATAGCTGACATCCAGCGCGCCCTTCGCGCGCGTGCAACACGAAGACCAACGGCCCCGATGCCCTCGACGAGACTCTCAGCCGACTCTCCAAGAAGCCCGGCGTCAAGGCCGTCGTCATCCTCGACCGAGCCACCGGCGCGATCCTCCGCACGACGGGACAGCTGTCCTTCAACGCCTCAGCGCTGCCGAGCGGCGGCTCCTTCTCAGGGGAGGGTGCGGCTGCGCAGCAGCAGCAGAACGGCGAAGGCGAAGGCGATCAGCCGCAAGGTCTGGAAGACTTCGCGGCCAAGGTATGGAACTGGGTTAATGCGTCGGGCACGCTGGTGTTGGACCTGGATACAGAGGTGAGGACGCCCATCCACCAACACTCGGAGCGCAACCTTGAAAAATCGTTGGGAGAGCTGGCGCTGACGTATCGGGGGTAGGACGAGCTGAAGCTGTTGAGACTACGGACGAAGAAGCAGGAGCTGGTCATCGTGCCGGATCCAAAGTACCTCCTCATCGTTGTCCACGACACACCGCCTGCTTGAGAGGCACACTCAGTCATCACGAACGACCTCAGCTGGCGTTTCACGAGGCCCCTTCCTCTTGACCACATCGAACGAAGTGCGCTTCATGCATGCATGTATATTAGCGGGCAGGGGAGCCCATTGGGCAGGCCGGAAGATGAGGGCATCTCCAAGATTACCTACGGTGCAGAAGGTCGGCGAAGACTAAGACGGAAAGCTCTGCGGCACGCACAAACACACATGCATATAAGATTGCTGCAGGCAGACGAATCGACATGGGCTGTCGATGGGCGGCGCGGAGGCACGAATGATACCCTGAAATTACAAATTCATGACCATGGCATTTAGGCCCGGAAATCCAGCCGGGTCGGCGAGGCGGGTGCGGTCACGACGTCCGGGCCGCTTGCTTGGCTAGGTTAGCTTTTCGACGCTGTTGGACGAATATGAATATAAGATGAATTGCAAACCTAAGCCCAAAGTCAAACGAGGTCGAGAAAACGAGAAAACGAGGTCCGGACTGGCCGGCTTGAAATAGCGCGTAAACAAAGCCACCGGCTTCTCTCCCCGAGATCTTCTGGGCCAGTCCTTGCTTCGAGGCGGACTCGTCCATCAAAAACATCAAACTGGTCCGTTCGCCTCCTGTCGTTCACTCCCCGAAGGCACGAACGACATCTCTTCACCGAACACCACGTTTTGGCACCAAGAACCGTGGCGCGACAGACCGTCGACGGGAAGTGGGTTGGCTTAAGCGTCCAGCCGCACGCAGGACCACCAATCCACACACCACACCAGACGCACCTCAGAGCAACAACTCCCTCGTTCGTTTTGGGGGCTTATAACAAGCCTAGGATTAGATTAAAGGCCTGTCCCTCTGGAAGCCGCCGCGGTCATCCCCTGGTTTCGACCAGTCGGCAGTCGAGGTTTCGTAACCTCGCGTCAGAGAAATCTTTCCACGGACAACTTTTTGGAACGTGAAGAAAGTGGTCCAACATGCAGAGGCGGGAAATGGGAATCTCGTTTCAGCAAGCTATGGGAAATCCTTGCCGGGCACTCCGTTGCGCCGGCCTGCCCCCCGTCCCCCCCTTTCGTCATCGTGTCGAGTTGCTCTTTCGTAACGAGAGATTGTGGGCAAAGAAGTTTTTTAAACTTTTTTAACCTATTCGTGCATTTTTCTGGGCGTGGTTCGCTGCGAGGCGTGTTTAACTTTGGTGCTGCCCTGTGGTAGGGTGCCCTT